AGGAAAAAAACTTTACAAAGGATAAGGGAGACAAAATGAGAAAACTTTACAAAGGATAAGGGAGACAAAATGAGAAAACTTTACAAAGGATAAGGGAGACAAAAGGAAAAACTTTACAAAGTATAAGGGAGACAAAAAGAAAAACTTTACAAAGGATAAGGGAAACAAAAGGAAAAACTTTACAAAGTATAAGGGAGACAAAAGGAAAAACTTTACAAAGGATAAGGGAAACAAAAGGAAAAACTTTACAAAGTATAAGGGAGACAAAAGGAAAAACTTTACAAAGGATAAGGGAGACAAAAGGAAAAACTTTATTTTCAGTTGGAACAATTGGAGCAGAACGAATGGTTAGTGTATATATAGTCTTGCATGAGTTGAAGGGTAATACAAATGTTTCATTTTATTTCCGTAAAGTGATCTCTTTATTTCTACGTTATTCCTGAAATTCGACAAAACACGACTTCATTAATAAATCTGCCAGCTGAAAGTATCACAAGGTGTCTAAAACAGAAGCCCAAACATTAAGGGTTAGTCTGTAAACTTTATCATACGAGATCAGCAAACAAAAGCAGGAATTGTATGAAAAAAGTCAAATTTCAGAAAATTGTCATCACTGGTTTGTTTGGTGGGAAATCGGACATAGTGCATTGTGGTGGCCACAGAGAAGTTTATCTTCAAACAATGCTAACTTAAACTCACATTTATATCTCCAACTGCTCGCGGAATACTTAGAACGACCCGTCATGCCTCGTAATTTGAGGGCCAAGAGTTCAAATCCCCGTCCCACCAAACATGCTCGCCCTTTCAGCCATGGTAGCGTTATAATGTGAAGGTCTATCCCTCTATTCGTTCGTAAAAGGATAGCCCAAGAGTTGGCGGTGGGTGGTGATAACTAGCTGCCTTCTCTCCATAATTATAATTTGAGTGATTTCATTCTGCACATCTTTGCTTGTATGTGTAGCATTTCTCTTGGCGTTTTCTACGTGTTTGTTTGTTTTTAATTTCGCGAAAAGCTACACGAGGGCTATCTGCGTTAGCCGTCCTTAATTTAGCAGTGAAAGACTAGAGACCAAACATTTTTAATTTCCTTTTATCTATGACTCATTAATCCACTAATTGTAATAAACTATTACAGCCGTCTGTGTTTTCTTATAGCAAAGCCACAACGGCTTGTGTCCATCGCGGGGAATCGTAACCCTGATTTTAGGTTTGTATGTCCGTAAACTTACCGCTGATTCACCGGAGACACATTTTTTTTTTGCCACAATATATTGGGAATAATATACTGGTGACTTGCATAGTAACAAAACGAAAACAAATTTCACACGATAAACAACCAATGCCTTCCTTCAGGTAGCTTTCTATAGAAAAAGTATGACGTGCAACACAAGAGGATAAGACTTAAAATCTAGAACTTATAATACTAAAAAAAACGAAACTTAAAAGATTGGCCATATCAATGGGAAAACTGCAGACAACACGCGGCATGGACCTGGTGAAGATGAAAGTTTTCGTTGAGTTCTCAATCTCAAATGTTATAGAACTTCAGATAAAATTGTAATTTGTTCTCGTGATAAATAACAAAAGATGAAAATACACTTGTCATTTGCTGGGCATTTCGGAGCAGACAGTTTTTGTTGTTCTTTAAACTACGAAGTAGATGCACGTTTTTAATTTCCTGAACAGAGTAAGAGGGGGTAGGGGAAGAAAACTGATAATAAAAGAAAATTACTGACGCATGACCTCTGTTAATAAGTTATGTTGATATGGATGATGTCCGACTTTATTCTCTGGTGGTCAAATCACAAACCCGTTCACTATTAAGGACATATCGCCATCAAGTAACTGACAGATAGATTTTTTTTTTTTACACAAACATTTCTGAAATAAGAAACGTTTATGACAGCATTTGAAATACTTATTTTGTTTAATCGAATACAATCAGGTAAACCTCACATTTTATATTTGTGGTTAAGCACAAAGCTAAACAATGGCCTGTCTGTGCTCTACCACCGCGGGTATCGGAACCCGATTTTTTCCGATATAAGCCCTCAGATAAATACAAGTACAGTTGTTTCTATTAGCCTAGCATGGATTTTTGTTAAAAATCTATTGTGGTTTTTCCTTACATATACACGTGAACGAATGGCGTGTTTCGTCGTATATGCTTTGTTTTATTTCTCACATTGAACAACTGAACTGGTTTTAAATTTCCCATTTAAATATATGATACCGTCAAAAAACAGTTTAGTCTCTAAAAGCCACATTTGTTTTACAAAACTGCAGCT